GAGAGAGAAGGTGAGATTAGAAAGGCTAAGAGGTAGGCACAGCACTACTGAAACTTATGTGCCTGTGACAAAGCATAAGAACCTTTCAGAGGAGAGCAGTATGGTGGAAAACTCACATACCATTAAATTGATCAGGAGCAACTTCTAATTATTTAGTTCAGTAATATTCACGTAATTTGTCAGCCATCACCATCATCCATCTCCAGAATACTTTTATCCTCCCAAATAAAAACCTTGGGCTCATGGATTGCTTTCCTAGCAGATATAAGGCCCTGGGTTCAATGCCTAGTGGTACAAAAAACTAAACAAAGAAAACTCACAACCATATCTGTGAGCTGGTAACTCCTCATTCCTCACCCTCCTGCCTCTTTAGTCATCCCCGTTCTACTTTTTGTTTCTTGTTTTGACTGTTTGGGTGTCTTATTAAAGTGAATTATGCAGCATTTCTCACTGTGTGACTTGCATACTTCACCTAACACAGTGTTCTCAAAATCCACCTTTGTAGGACACATCAAATTACATTCCGTTTTCATATTGAATAATATTCAATCGTATGCTTACACCACATTTTGTTTATCCATCACTCAATGGAAAATTGCATTGTCTCTCTTAGCTGTTCTGAACCATATGGCCTCGAACATACATCTAGCTCTTTTGAGGGATTTCCAAACGTTTTTGAACAGCAGCTGCGCCATTTTACATCCCCACTGAGAATGTACAAGGGTTCCTTCTAGATTCTCCATGGGGACAAGTGGCTATGTCTTCAGTCTAAATCAGCCTGACTGTAGCTCAGACTGCACCTGAGGCAGTGACAAATATGACAACAGATTGGTGCCAGACTTTGGGTCTTGAAGCCAGGCTATGGCACTGGTGCTTTTTCTGCACCAGTTTGGGGAAGCTGGTGAGGCAAGGACAAGTTACAAGGGTACCACAGGCAGCTTGAGAACCACAGGCAGCTGGAGACCCAAAGGCTGCGTGTAATGTGAACTGAGACCCGGAGGCCTGGACATTGGTCGGCATTTGATTACAGCCAACTAGCTAGGTTAAAGATTTAGTTCTAGGTGGGAGTCCTGGGTTCCATGTGGGAAAGCTGGAAAGGTGGGGATGAATGCAGACAGAGTGAATGGAATTCTTGAGAATAAAGAAGGTGTTTTTGCTGGTGAGAGGTTTGAGGAATTCTGCATGGCTCAGCCAGTCATTCAACACTGGTCATCTTAAGTATACGCATGTGGAATGATGGTAAGAAGTGGTACACCCCTTATCCTTTGTCGTTTTGATTTCCGAGGTGACTATAGCACACAGAAAAGGGAGAGAACCAGTTAGCCGGGTGATTCTTGGCCTAGTCAGGAATCGGCTTTGCAGCGGGGCTGGGAGTGTGGCTGGATGGTAGAGGACTGCTTACTCTGTGTGGATGAGTCATGGGTTTCCTTCCCATAATGGAGGAAAGGGGCAGGGGAAGAGAGGGCGAGCGCAGGCTGTAGCTGTGGAGCTGCTTCTTTCACAGGGAGCATCCTCTTGCTGTGGGTTACAAAGCTGGGCCCCCAGTAAGAAAAACATTGCATTAAGATGTTTGCATGGAGAGCTGAAACCCAAACCCAAAGTAAGGAATGGACTGCAGGCACCAGAGGTGTGTCTAAACAAGATCCAAGCTGGAGCTACAAAAGTCTTATTTTTGTGCTTAATTTGCATAATAATAAAATGATTGTATTATGACAGCCCACAAGTAGTATATCTTTTATCTGGAATAACTGGCACCAGACATGGTTCAGATTTTTGAGGATTTTAGATCTTGGTGTATTTGCAGACATTTTACCAACTAGACCAGAAAATACTAAATCAAAAATGGTTTAAAATGGAAAACTTATGAGCATTGTTTATACTTAAGTTTCACATTTTGAGTTTTCCAATTAGGAATGCCCAACCTGTGTAACAAAGGTGTTTGTGTGGCCCTTGGTTCTGTGTTGGCTATGTGTCATACTAAAAACACCACTCCCTCTTGGTGTTCCTGACCCTTTTCTCTCTGATCCATTGTGTTTTGATTACTGAAGATTCCACAGAGCAAGGGCTCCACTAGGTGTTGTCCTCTGAGCTGAAATAAGGCAGACTATAGTGCCTTTTCATGCAGCTGTTCAAGGTTATGTAAGTGCTTGATGATGATGGCTGGGTGGTAAGTGTGGATCTCAGTTTGGTGGATCTCAGATTAAGGAAGGTTTTAAGTAACTTATTTTCAAAATAAATATAGTTAAGGGGTCTAAAATCAGGTTTGTAAGATGTAAGTGCGGTGATCTAAGCATGGGCAACCACCCTTGTCTTTTTTATATGAGTTCTGGTGATCAAACAGTTCCTCTTGCAAACAATACACTAGCTTACAGGATCCCTGCTGCCCTGTATGTTTTTTATCTGCAAGTTCAACTGAAAACAGTTTTTCCCAGGCCTGTGGCTGGTGCTAAATCTATATTGCCGACATCAAATAACAAAAGCATTTGTGGCTGGGTGGTGGTGGTGGGCGGCGGCGGCAGCGGCTGTGCACGCCTTTAATCCCAGCACTTGGGAGGCAGAGCCAGGTGGATCTCTGTGAGTTTGAGGCCAGCCTGGGCTACAGAGCGAGATCCAGGAAAGGTACCAAAGTGACACAGAGAAACCTTGTCTCAAAAAAACAGAAGGAGGAGGAGGAGATGAAGAAGAAGAAGAAGAAGAAGAAGAAGAAGAAGAAGAAGAAGAAGAAGAAGAAGAAGAAGAAGAAGAAGAAGAAGAAGAAG